AGCCACTATCTTTGAAAATTGAAGAGACTTTGTAGTTGTTCTCGTTTGTTGTTTCAACTTATAAACTGAAAGTTCAATCAAACATACAATCAGTTTATGCCCCTTGATAATGCTGTCATTGTAAAAATAAAGTTGATCTCATAATTCAGGAAAGATTAGTTCAGCCTAGAAAAGTATCATCAAATACCAAACATTTGAAGTTTTTGCAAAAATATTGCAGACTGTACAGCTGGGCAGTTTCTCGGTCAACTTACATAGCCTGTTCCCAGCCAATAGGAAGGCACTTTGCAGCGTTTTTCCAAAATTTACTTTCCCCATTTTGTTTTACATAGAAAAGCTTTGTCCTTACAAGAAAATAAAGAAGAAACACTAAAGAAAGAGAGAAAAAAAGTGGACAAAAAAAGATAATTTTAACACTGAGGTTAAAAGCTCAAGAGGTTTATCTGGATTCCAGCAACCATAACACTCTCATGCTGCACACCTTGTATTTTAGTACAAAATGTTATTTTTTTGCAATAAGTTATTCCTCGGCACTACTGAAACCATGAAAAATCCTTAATTGTTATGGCTAGACATCACTGATTCATTTCACCATCTTCTGAAGGACGCAGATATTTGCCTGGCCAGTGTTCACTGCAGTCTGAAGCGACTATTAGCTGTCTGATATATTCAGAGTTGTATTAAGTGACTGAAGGTGTGCAGCACGGCCACACCAGCTCTCCTGGGCAGTAGCTTCACTGCCTGGAAATTCCTTTCAGAGAGATATGCAGCTAAAAGGAAAAGTGCTGCATTTACATTCATTGCCTCTTCTTTTTTCGTAAAAGAAAAGAAGGGGGTAAGTGACCTAATGCACAAGTTTTCTAGGGCTTGAGGTGTGTGACTTGGAAACTTTACAGCCCAGTTAAGGTGCTTCAGCCTTACAAATGTTGAGGGAGGTGATTCTTTTCCTCTATTCTGCTCCTGTGAGACCCCACCTGGAGTGCTGTGTCCAGTCCTCAGAACAGTAAGGACATGAACCTCATAAGAGAGATATGGAACTCCTGGAGAAAGTCCAGCAGAGAGCTACAAAGTTGATCAAGGGACTGGATCATCTCTGTTACGAGGACAAGCTGAGGCAACTGGGCCTGTTCAACCTCAGAAAGAGACAGTTGAGAGGGAATCTCATCAATGTCTGTAAGTATCTGAAGGGAGGGTGTCAAGAGGAAGGACCCAGGCTCTACTCGTGGTGCCAAGCAATAGGACAAGGGGCTAAGGGCAGAAACTGATGCACGGGAAGTTCCACCTGAACATGAGGAAGAACTTCTTTACTGTGCAGGTGACCACACAATGGAATAGATTGCTCGGAGAGGTTGTGGAGTCTCCCTAACTGGAGATATTCAAGAACTGTCTGGATGCAATCCTGTGCCATGTGCTCTAGGATGACCTGCTTGAGCCGAGAGGTTGGACCAGATGCCCCATTGTGGTCCCTTCCATCCTGACCAATTCTGTCATTCTGTGACCTGTTGGAGTGGCTCCAGAGGAGGGACACCAAGAGGATTAGTAGGATGGAACACTTCCTGTGAGGAAAGTGTGAGAGAGCTGGGGTCGTTCAGCCTGGAGAAGGCTCCAAGGAGACCTTATAGATTTTCACAATGAGGGTAGCAAGGCACTGGAACAGGTTACCCAGAGAAGCTGTGGATGCCCCATTGCTGGACATGTTTATGTTGAAAGGAGCTCTGAGCAGCCTGGTCTAGTGGAAGGTGTCCCTGCCCCGGGCAAGGCTTGGAATGGGATGATCTTTAGAGTCCCTTCCATCCTGAGCTCCCAGCGCGGGGGCGGGGCCGGGCGGGCGGAGGGCGGGCTGGGCGGGCTGGCCCCGCCCCCTCCCTGCCACCCGCCCGTCACGTGCGTTAGCGACACAGGCGTGGCGGCGCCCATTGGCGGAGGCCGGCGTGGCGTGGCCGGCGCCGGTTCGTCAGCGGCGCCGCCGCCTGACAACAAAGGGCTCGGAGCGCCGGGGACGCGGAGCGGGAGCTGCGGTCGGTGAGTTGCTTGTGGGGCACCGCGGCACCGGGCACTGCCGCTGACCCGGCTGTGATGGTGTCCTGCGCTCTGAGCGCTGAAAACCAGTAGCAACAGCGGAGTTCCCGTTTCCCTGTGCGTCCATCCCGGCTTCTCTCTGCCGGGAAGGCGCCGGGGCCGGGAAGTGTTTGGCGTTTTCCGGGCTGTGGAGCAGCGGCAGTGCCTTCCGTGCCTCCCGCCCAGCCCCGGAGCGCGGCCGGGAAGGTGCGCAGCTGCTGCGGGCGCTGCCGGGTCACCCCCGGCGCCGCTCGGAGCGGCTTTTTGGAGCCTCCTGGTGGTGGTGGAAGAGCTGTGAGGTGGGGCACGGGGGGATCAGGGATCGGCTCGCTCTGGCAGAGAACTGCACAGTGACTTGGGGATGCCATTTTTGGGTTTTGTTTGATTTTTGCTTAGCACGTACCGCATCTCCTTTGTTAGGTTAGGAAAAAAAAAAAGGAAAAAATACTTTTTAGTGCAGCGATACTTTATTGTTGACATTCATTGGATATGTTATCTGTAACAACCTCTTAATCATTGCTGCAGCTGACTCAGTTCTTCCCAGCCTTATGTTTTCCTGCAGCTGATAGTTCCTGCCTAAGAACTTGAAAATCTCTCTCGGTCTCTGTCCCGTTTTCCTCCCCGAACGGTGGCCCTGGATAACAGTGTAACTTCTTGGTCGCCTTCTGACTTGCACAATAGCACATGAGCGTGGCCTTTTTAAAGGCACTTGTCCAAAAGGATGTCAAAACATCAACCGGTATCTGAATGATTCAGATGTTTTTTTGGATCCTCCTTGGGGTGGGGGAAGGGGAAAATGGGGCAAACTGCTTTTGATCTATAGAAAGACAGTTGTGGGTCAAAAGCTGATGTTTGTTTAGCTTATGTTCTCAGGAACAGTGATCTCTGCTTGTTAGAAGCTAATTACTTGATGCTGCTGTGATGCCTCGAGACTTAATATAGGAGTGTCAGCTCTCATCCTTCTGCACTCTGCAACAACAAAAAGACGGCCTCTGCCTGAAGGTACCTTCAGGCTTGATCTAGGAAGGAGGCAGCACATGTGTGTGGGAGTACAGGGAAAGCCAGTGCTGATCAGCAGCTGTGCGGTGGCTTGCTAGTTAGCCTAAAAAAAACAAACTCTTTTCTTCATAGGCCTTGTGCCAGGAGAGTGTTAGGGAAAGAAGTGGAAGGTAGCTGGAAAGCTACAGACTTCAAGCATTCACTCAGAGTTCATTTCCGTATCCGTGGTAAGCTCTGCCTATAATTGAAGCACTCAAACCTTCTCAAGAAGGTGCTTAGGAACACTGTGGGCATTTGGCATTTCCTTAGGTAACCCATCCAGGGCTTAGCAACCTTAATGGTTAAAAGTGTTTCCTGCCATAACCACTGAAAGCTGAACTTTACTGCAGTTTAAAGTCACTTCTGCTTGCTCTGAGTGTAGAAGGTGGCAATAAATGTTTGCCTCTTTCTTCACATAATTTAGTACTGTTGTAATTTTTGCCTTCCTTCTGTTAAGCCTTTCCATTTTTAAAATTTTATCAGTTTTCTTTAGTCTTCTGATCATTTTTGTAGCTGTCATAAAGAGAGCCCTGACGTTTCATTTTTAAGTGTGGTCCTTAAAAATAGACTTTTTTCACAACTGCAGCTGAGCCAGTTGTTTCTGGTCTTGTTTTTTCCTGTAGTTGATAGTTTCTGTTGAGGAACTAGTGTGCATAACTTCTTGAGTTTTGCTGTACCTTTCCATATTGCTGCTGAAGACTACTTTAAATTCTACTCCTTTTGTGCTATTTGAATAAGGAGGAAGCTGCATAAATGTGTACAGAAGCAGTACTGTATGGAGCAGGTGCTTTTCCTTGCATTGAAAAAGTAGGTGATGGGGTTTGGTGTCCTGGGATAAGATGACATAGGAGGCCCAAATGACCCTTTAGTGTGGCCTGAAAGTTCTAGGGTGACACAGGGATTACTGGCCTTAAATAATAATCTTAATGGGTTGTATCTTCTTTTAATGGTTGAGTTTGTCTAGTGTAGTGTGTTTTCTCTCTCTTTCTGAATGCAGGCATTCACACTGTCTTACCTGCATATATTCTTCTCTGTTAAATTATCAAACAGGTATTTAATCTGTAATGATTCTGACATGCTGTGGTGATTCAAATATTACTATGGCAAAATTAACTTGTAGTGAAATCAGTGGATATATATCCCATAGTCTTTACTTTTTTAGCTACTTTAATGGCTTCTCCTTATTGGCTCATATATAAATATCAAAGGCTGTAAGCATGCTGATCTGAGGTGTTTGAACATTCAGCTTCTTGGTACTAATGGGATTTTTCATCTTAATTGCCAAATGCAGAGTTCAGGCTTATGGTGACCAGTTACATGTAGATTTAGGGAAATGTATTGAGAAATAAACATGATACTTTTCCATGCTCCTTAGACTTAGCATACATGACTAGTTGGGTGGTTGCTGTGAAAACGATCCCACTGGTAACTGGTGCACTTTGAACCTGAAGACAGGATGTGCCTTCCTACTTTGTTAACTTGTAGGCAGTGGCCCTGAACTGAGTGTGATGGGAGAGAGAAGAAACACTGCCTTAAGCTTCCCTGAGAGCCCTCACAGGGGCTCCTCTTTGTCAACAAAGGAGATGAGTTGTCTGGAGCAGAAAATATGCACTTGCCCTTCACATCCCCCTCTGACCCGGAGGAGGACAGGCAGGGAGCTGGGAGAGCACCTTGGTGAGCATAAACACAAGGCTCCCATACAAGAGTCCTCTCTTCTCTTAGGAGAAGGTGAGACTGACAACTGAACAGACCTTTCCATGGGGATTGAGGGGAAGGCAATCAGTTCCCACGGGAGACCTTTTTGGTGTTGTTGGTTTTTGGTGTTTTGTTTGTTTTTTTTTTTATACATATCTAGATGGGAGGGGATTGTGAATACCAGTGAACCTGCCTCTCCTCTTTGAGGAAAATATTCACTGGTAGCTCTGACTACACTAGCAAGGGGGCTTTTAACTTGTTCCCCCGGGGTTGTTACCTGTTGCTTTGTCATTAAGACCCTTGTCATCATTTTTTGCAGGTTCACATAAACTGTTTACAAGTCATGCCTCTGCATGTCCCATACCTAAGCTGATAAAGCATCTATGCACTTTAATCTCAAGTCTGTGCCACTCTGCTAGTACAGTGTTAGCTGTGCCTTGAACCTTGGATGTAACGACCTACCAGCCAAAGTCTTGTTCCTGCCTTAGTAATGTTTCAGAGGTTAAATAACATGCTCATGGGAGAGATTGATAGCTTGTCCAGCCAAGAGCCAGAGTTCAGTGAGAAAGAAGACGACGAGTGGATTCTAGTTGACTTTATAGGTAAGATGTCTGTCAGACATAAGCTCTGCCTTTGTCATGCTCTGGCTTTTGTTTGTCTTACTTCCAGGTGAACAAACCAGTAGCTTGGAGAACCTTTATCTAAGTAAAACCAGTGTGGGATTAGAGTATAGGGTGTCTTCCAAACAAATGTACTAAAATATGTTGAGTAAACTGGTGAGAAGAATGATGTCAGGTTTATAAGCCTGACACAGATTCAGCAGAACCACCTGTACAGATAAAGTATATTTGACTTATTACGCAATTATATAGCTTTACTGATAACAGTTGCTTCACATGTCTAACATGGCTTGCCTTTTTTCCTCTCTTGCTTTATAAAGTAAAAACTTGCGTATGTGCTAATAAGAGGTTTATTTCTGTTTTTTTTCTTGTTTTTCTTTTTCTTTTCATATTCTGTTTTTGACTACGTGCAACCCTGTTGGTTTTGACCTCCTGTGATCACCAACATCCATGGGTTCCTCTCCACTGACTAATGGTCACCTACAGCAGACACTTGCACTAATTGTTCTGTGGAGGAAGCAGACATTGTTGAAGAATCAGCCACGGATGGCTCACCCGTCTTCTCTTGTTTATCGTCTCCCTTGGAACACTTGCCGGAGGCCAGCGAGTCTTGCTTCATCCAGTTTGAGTCATGTCCTATGGAGGAGAGCTGGTTTATTACCCCTCCCCCATGTTTTACTGCAGGTGGATTGACCACTATCAAGGTGGAAACCAGTCCGATGGAGAACCTCCTAATAGAGCATCCCAGCATGTCTGTGTATGCTGTCCATAATGCCTGTCACAGCCTTAATGAGACTGGATGTGGAGATGAGGAGTTTCACAGCCCAGGTAGTCCCAGGTATGTGTGAATTCTCTTGTCAAGCAGCTCTGTTCCTGAAAATATCTGGTTTCTACTTGATCAACTTAGACACTTAATACTGAATTTTCCAGCGTATTTCAGAGCAGGTGAATAAAGCATGAATACTACACAAGGTGGTCAGGGCTGCCTGCCTGCTTAGAAAAATGTTAATACAAGATGACTGTGTCAGGAAACAGCTGGGTATGCCATTTTGATACTACAATGAATATTGATGGAGCCTAATTACTCCCTTGCAGAATATGTCCCAATCGTGTTGGAACTGCTGGCAGTTCACTGTATATCCAGTAATGTACATATGAAAGCACTTTGCCCCCTTCACAGCTCTATGTTTCTTTCACAACTGCTGATTAATACCTATTCAGTCACCTTGTGAGATGAAATCTAGGGGCTTGGGTTTTGGGTGGGTTTTTTGGTTTTTTGGGTGTTTTTTGTTCCTCAACATAGTGATAGGTAAGGATAGGATTAAATTTTTCCACAAGCAGCTTGTGAAACAAAAGCAACCCAAAATATTTCACAAAACTTTGTGCTGTAAACTTCTGCTTTTAGCAAAGTAAGAAGTTGTACTTTTTGGTTTTGGGTCCTAAAAATCTGACCATGTGGGGTTATTGCAGAGGCATGTTTGCCATGCACTGCTTCTTTGGTGTTTGTGTGTACAGCTATACAAATATACATCGTAGATGTATACAAATACTGTTTCTTTGCCATTATGACCCCTCATGTGCCCATGCATTCATTGATTTTGAAATAATTGGGTGTTTTGTGAATCCCAGTTAATAACAAAGGCTGACTTTTCATCCCAGCTTATTTTTGCTTATGTCTAGAAGCAATAATAAAAAAGAGAACCAAACAAACGGAGAAAAATAAAAAGAGAAAAGACTATAGTGTACTAAGTTTTGATATACAGGAAGAAATGAGTGTAGGGTGAAGTTGCTGCAGGTAGACGCCTATTGACTTCTCTGATCAGCTCCTTGCTGTATTTTAAGTTCTTAGTTCAAAGAAACATATGACTTTGAGATGATGTGCTGCTGTATAATATTGAAGTATAGTGCTGATACTATTGGTCTTTGGGTGGAGGATTTGTACAATTGGGGAGGGTGGTTTATGATGTTAAGCATTAGGGGTCTAGCTTAACTTAAACAGGGAGAAACTATGAGCACACAGCACCTTTAAAGTGAGGGTCTGAAGTAATCTGCAGAAGAACTGGAGGCTGCAAGTCATGCCCTGGAACAAGACAGTAAACCAGTTTATCTAAAATACCAATTTGCAGTGTAACACTCAAAGTTGGATACTGACTTTTCAGTGACTTGAACTAGGGATACTGGTATAAATTCTTCTGGAGAATAATCCTGTCTCATACAGTACAGTTAAGCTGCTTTAATGTGGGGGGAAGCTAAAGGTATGATGATCTTCAGCTGGCATGTAATTAAGTTTCTTCACACTGAATTCTGTGCTGTTGCTTTGTCAGAAGATCTAGGCTCTTATATTGGTTACTTTGGGTGGCAGAACTGGGACAAGACAAGTCTAAAGCTGAGGTAGACTGCAGAAACTGGGAACATTGATTACACTGATTTTGCAGTAAGTTTCAAAAGCTGTTTTGAAGTCTCTAGTGGTTTAATGGTTGGCCATTTAACATTATAGGGCCAAGAAAAGCTACTTAAGGCACACTGGCACAGTAAGTACTACTGTTTTGGGACAGTGCTTTTTGTTTGATCAGGCTGCTAGCAACACTGCTTCCTCTAGAGCCTTGTCTGCCAAAGCAATACTGGTTTTAGGACTAACCTTTGTGCCAAATGATGTTACTTGATCAAGCCTAACTACATCTGCTTTAACAAGCCAAAATGCTAAGTGCAGAAAAATTGCTGAAATATTAATTGGGGTGGGGTCTGAAGCCTTTAACGTTTCTTGTGAGGTCTGGCTCTATAGTGCAATTAGCAGAACACTTCTGCTTTCTAGCAGAATAGATGGTGGGAGTGCAGCAGTGAATGTATATAGTGATGGTCTGGCTTAAGACACAGCCCCTCTAAAACTCTATTTTGACAATATCAATGGAGACTTGTCAACCCTATTCTCTCAGTGCATAGGGCTTGCTAGTGCCAGGCTACCAAAGGCAACTAAGGTACCAAAATGGAAGAGTGTGTGGCCTTTTAGCCAATTCAAACCACCTTTGCTATCCCAGTTTCACTTTATGTTGACAAATAGAAGAGTGTTGGTTTGCAAACCAGTGCTGGAAGGGTATTTGATAAGCTTAAGTATCTTCCACCTGCAACTTTAAACCAGTTTTTCTCCTTTTGTGGAGGAAATCTATTTTCTCATTTTAAATTCCTTTCAAAGCAAAAGGATGTTGTATAAACTTCCCCCTGTTTGTCAGATTAGTCATATTTTTCCATAACAAAACCACAACAGTTTGTATTAGCAGTTGCTGCCCTTTGCTAGTTTAAGAGTTTGCTTAGGAAATATGGGTTGCAATAATTGTGCTGTGGCTTCCTGGCTCCTTACAGCTTTCCCCAGAACAGCTTTGCTTGAAGTTCCACTTCCAGCACTGCTGATTGTGCTAAGGGATTGCCCCATATAGAAAATAGTAGCCCCATATTTGCAGGTACCCTCATCTATATTAAACTGGTGTAATCCGCATAGAACATATTTACAGTGCACTGTGAATTGATTGGTGCTGTGTTATTCACTTATTTCTTGCTTGATATTTTAAGTGCTAGGTTTAGGACAATATCCAGTGAATAAATGGGAAAATCAGCATGTCATATTTGGCTGTTCTGCTGTGTCTAGTCTTCAGCCAGTCATATCTAGCTACCCAAGGATCTAAAAGCAAGATTAGAATATTTAAAATAAAAAAAAAAGGTAGAAGGCAGGGAGTATTCCCTTGCTGACAAGGAGTCATTCCCTCCAGTGTGGAGTGGTGGGAGGCAGAAGAGATCACATCTGTGTCAGCCCCCCAAGAGTAAGGCTGCAAAGGGCATACCATGGACATGGCAGACCCGATTTACGTCTACAGAGACTGCATACAATACATGCAATTTAAGCCCTTCCAGAAGAGTCATCGTAGTGCCGAAAAACAGACTTCCCAAGAGACCTCTTGCTCATGCCTGAGCAAGTTCCTGGTCTTCCAGACATCTTTCCTGAGCACACTCACCAGTTGACAGCTGGTTGTTGGGTCCTGGGTGGGAAGAGAGAAGGCAAGCAGCTCTGATGCCACTGGTCTTGCACCAGCTGTAGCATTCAGATTTGGGTTTTGCTTTGCTAAAATGGCCAGGCTATTTTTAACTTTACTTTTGAAGTTTCAGGAAGTGCCAGTGATTGTTCTGTCAAGTAGGGAAGTCCTTTTTCAATATGTCAGTCCCTGCTTGCATAGGCTGCTGGTTTGTTTTTCACTATTGCATGATGAAGGAAGGGTTTGCCAAAACTGCTGACTCTCTGCTCATGAAATTTAGAGGGCTGGTTGAGGAACAATCCTTCTAAGTTATTTCCTGTGTGTGTCACAACTGATCTATCTTTCCCATTCCTCTGCATGAACATTGTTTGGATTTACTTGTGTGGCTGGCAGTTGAAATGCACTTTCATTAGTGTGCTTCTGTTTTCAGGCTGAACCACCTATGTTCAAGATGATTTAAAACCAAACTTTCCCTGATGGATAACTCCAAGTCTTCTAAAGCTGGAGCAGTGTGACACACATTGCCTTGTGTTTCTGATGTGTATTGTATCTTGGGCTTAGGGAGCTGGGGTGGGTAAGGAGGAGCACGATAGTGTAAGATGGTGGAAGTCCAAAGGCTGTTGTGGAGCCCTCACACAGAAAGTGAATTGGCAGCACTACTCATTACTTACCAGCGTGGTAAGTGGCTTGACCTTGCCTCAGTCCAAATCTATGTCCAGTAGAATTAGGGTGCCCTTTTGAAATGCTAGGTGTTGATCTCCACGTTCTACCCTTTATTTTACTTGTCTCTCGAGTGCACCTCCTTAATGACTGATATCTGTTGTTACATTTCTAGACTGGAGGCCCGAAATGAAACAGGACAGCGTGTTCACTGCTATGTCACGGCTCTTGCTACTCGTTCAACTTTTCTGGAAAAAAACAAGAGCTTTCGTCCTACCCACTGGATAAAAGAACATAATGAAAGACACTGTCTCAATAGAAACAGTCTCCGTCGCCAAAATCTTACCAGGGATTGCCACTCTCGGCAAATCAAGCACAACGGACTGTTTGTTCACCAGCCTTGCCAGCGTCAGTTCAATTACTGATGGTTCTTGTGGTTTTAATCTATGGTCTAATTGTTTTTTAGGTTGCTCTTGTTTTCATGTGTAGGTAAGTGTAGTCAATCTGAAGCTGATTGTCAATCCCTCAAACACAATCATAACTAGTGTTGCATTGTTTTGAAAAGACACATAAATCTCCAAACGTCTTGCAGCGAGTTATGAATGTTGATGTTAAATATCAATGTCTTGGAAGCCTATCAGTACGATAGTTTGTGTGCTGTTTTATAAACTATGATGTATAGATGGGTTCTTAGTATTTTAAAGAAACTTAACTGAGATGGAGATCAGTTACATTTTGCATTAATCAAAATGGAGTTAGAAAAATTGAGGTTAGCCGTATGCTTTAATGACCAGTACTTGACAGCTTGTGTATCTGTCTGTATTCAGCATATATGATTACTTTCTAACGAGGAAATTCTATAGCTGCCAGTGGATATTACATAGCTGTGCTGAGCTGTTGCAAGAAGGACATCTCATCTAAATTGCCTAGTACCTGCTTGTGTTAGTGGAGTCTGTGCAGGTGTGTTGGGTACTTGATATGGATATTGGAAGAGGGTTAAATGTCCCCCCAATATTGTTGCAGTATGATATGGCACCGGTGTTACAGATGTAGTACCTCACAGTGGAGTGGAAAGATAAGTGGACCTATGGGTAAAGTGCAGATGCACAACACAGAGAACTGAACTGGGTTTTACTTGGTACAGTTTGAGTTCTTACTCCTTTCTCTAACTATTTCTGTCTTTGATACATGTATTTCCCCTACCCTATCTCATTTAATCTCTAGTCTAGTTAAAGAAAAAAGATGGTGGCTTGACTGTTCTTTTAGTCCTATCAGTAGCTGACTGCTGATGGACAGCTATTTCTGAGCTACAAGTTGCTGTTAGATTGTCTTGATATTTACAGATTGAGAGTAGCCCAAAAATAGCTAGAAGGAGGCTTTCATTAGAAGTTCTCCTAATTTTCTCTCTTTCTCTCTATGAAATGAAGTCCAAGTTAATGGGAACTTCAAATGAAGGGCAGTGTGAGGCAGGGAGAAGCAGATGCTGGAAAACAGTCTTAGAGAACTAAACACAGCGATAACAGGGTGTGTAAAAATTGATCAGCAGTGGTGGTTCTCCTAGCCCATTGGAGGCAGGACTGGGGCCAACAAGAAAGAAAAACCATTCAAAACTAACAAGTAGTTTTCTTAAGAACACTGTGCAAGATGTTTTGGAAGTTGGCAGGCACTGCTAACTACAACTACAGGTGAAGTAAAGTTCACCTGTAAACAAAAACTGTGTTCCACAGCAGCCATACAGCATGCTGAACCCTGATAGATCAATCTGGGAAGTGGATTAAATGAGCGTGGAGGTGAGGAAGCAGAAATCTGCACTGAAAGAAGGGGGGAATGATAAGTAAGTTTATCCTCCTTTCTTTCAGTGCTTAATGTGACTTACTGTGTTTTCTCTTGTGTTTAGTGCCTAGGGCATTAAAGTGTTAACATTACACTCAACTGTGTCTTCCAGTAGTCCTTATACAGAAGTTGGTATAAGGAGTCACGTGGGGAGTCTTTGGAATCAGGTGAGGTCGATAATGTGAATTATTCCAGACCTATGAAGTATTTTAAATTCAGCCAAATGCTTCAATTTCACTGAAGCAAAACCCCAACAATTCAGATTGACCTTGATATAGTGGTACTGTTGCACATTCTGCAGCTGGAATTGTAGTGGAACCTACTTGGCATACAGGAAACAGCATTTATAACCTCTGTTTCACTGCAGATGTGCTGCTTCACTGAAACTAGTTAGGAGTGTTGCAAAGGGATGTTGAAAAATAGTTAAATGTATAAAAGCAAGAGGTGCTTTCCTGGACACACTAGTCTTTTTTTTTTTTTTTTTTTTTTTTTTTTTTTTTACACATTGAATTCACATGGACACTGAAAGAAAATAAAATTAGTCACATCGTGAGTTTCCAAAACAGAAATTTTGTTACTGTTCTTTTCAGCAGTATGTGCCCATGTCTATACAACAATTCTGTTCTGGTCCAAATACTCTAGTTTATTTGCAGATAGCTGTAGTTTCACCAGTCTCTTACCTGTTCACAAGTACTCTTACTTGCCCTCAGATTATCTACCTTTATCACTCCAGCTTTTTGTCTGGCTTAAACTTCTGTCTCCTCACTGCCAACTTTCTAGCTCAGGAAAATTCTTTGCTTTCCTGTATTACTTTTCTTTATATAAGGTAAATACTTTCCTTCAGCTTTAATTTTCTTAAAGTAAAATGAAGGAAGATGGAGTCTCCACCTCCCTATGTTGGAAGGAGTAAGTAATCCCTTAGCTCTTCACAGGGAGATGGAGTTGAGGGCATAAGGCTCCCAGGCATTACAATGAGAGCCTTGGTCTGTTCTTCTCAGTAGGCAAATAAATGCAACTTTAGACTGCTCCTAGAATTGGGAGATACTGATCTTTTTATACTACATTACTAGATGACTTTCTGGTGATGAAAACCTATATCTTTCAGGATATAAACTATTTTGTTGCACAAAGCTGTGCTTCTCAATTTGTAATATTGGAAACCATATTATTGTGTGAGATAGTACTGCATCAATGGCTTTTTGTTAATTTGTTTTACATATTTATGTTGGTCTAGCCCTGTTTTGTGCCTGGAGCTATTGGGCAATTAGATTTGTTTTGGTTTTCTGTTTTAATAGTGAGCTGTGTGGCTTTTTATATGGTTTTTTAAGTTGTATTAAAGTGTGGGTTTTTTTCTTGTAAAAGTGGAGGCCTTGCACTGTCTCATACTGGTTGATATTCATGAATTTTGCTGAAATTGTATTTTCACACGTATTGGTCAATGGACAGATTTGCATTTTAAACTGTGCCTTCTACGCAGCAAACTTGAAGATTCAAAAGGGACATTTCAGTTAGGATTAATACTGTACATCAGTCTATGCATATATGGCAGCTTCTCTCCAGAGCCACTTCTCTATTTGTAGCAGTCCTTTTGATATGGAAGAATGTCTGGCTCTTATTTTTAATAGTTTAACACAAGCTGAAAACAGACAAAATATAGCACTTTGCCAAAAAGTAGCATTGCTTAACCAGTGTGTATTTACTAAAGTGATCTTCTGTATTTTGTTTTCATCGTGCATCCTGTGCACCATGGGGAAACATGATCTTAACTCTCAATAAAAAATGGCCTATTAAAAATTGTCAGTCTATTCTTTAATATTAGAGGTTGGTCAAAATCCAAATGCCTGAGCACCCCATTCAGGTAGCAGGCACAACTACTGAGTGTCTCAATGTGTGCTCTAGTACAGAAGTTACTCTGGGAATGGGTTTGCATTGCTGATCAAGTGATAAGGTGCATCCGAGCGCTGTTACACATCTCTGCCAACTGCTGTGTTTCCTGATCAGCATGTGGGAGCTCTGTAGGAGAACAGAACAGACATAAAAACACATGAAGCAGGCACGGGGTGGGTGGAAGGTTTTTCCTGCCATGAAACACCATGAAAAAGTCTGTGTGGAAGGCTGCTGGTACATCCCCTGCTGTGAGGGATGTAGAGATCCTGTGTAAATGTCCAGGGATGGGGCTAGGGAAGCCAAAGCAGATCCACCTAGCTGAACCTGGCAAGGGATGTGGAGGACAATGGGTGTTGCAGCTGCAAATGGAACATTAGAGGAAGTGTGGGCCTGCTGCCAAGCAGGACAGGAATCCACATGACAAAGGACATGGAGAAGGCTGAGGTACTTCATGTCTTCTTTGCCTTGGTCTCTAGTGGTAAGACCAGCCTTTGGGATTGCAGGCCCCTGAGGCCAGTGGAAAATGCTACAGCAAGGAAGAATAACCCTTGGATGAGAAGGTAAGATCAAGGTAAGACTGTCTTGTAGATCCCCCTATTCTTCATGTCTGTCTTTAAGATAGGAAGGACACTTGTTTTCTTCCATCACTCAGGAATCCTGTCCATTGCTATAACCTTTTAGATAATTAAGAACAGCTTCACCATGACGTCAGCCAGCTCCTTCAGCAGTCATGGATGTGTGCCATAGATCTGTGTATGGCCCACCTCTTCAAGCATTTCTTACCTTGATCTCTGGGCAGGTACTGGAGCAAATAGTCCTGGAAACCAAAGATGAACAATAAGGTAATTAGTAGTAGCCAGAATAGATTTATGGAAGGGGAAGGCATGCCTGGCAACCTGACAGCCTTCACAGTTAGATGACTGGCTCAGTGGATGAGGGGAGAGCACTGGATGTTGTTTATCTTGACTTCAAGGCTTTTAACACTGTCCTCCATAACATCCTCCCAAACTGATGAGTTATGGACTGTAAAGTAGATGATGAGCAGGTGTATTGAGAGCTGGCTGAACTGCTGTGCTCAAAGTCGAAGCCTAGCCAAAAGCTTTTTTTTTTCATTGGTGCTCCCTATCAGTACAGGTTCTTACACATTAAAAACCTTCATTAAGAACCTGGCTCATAGGGTAGAGTTGTTTATGCACTGGAGGGCTGTGCTGTCATTCAGAAGGACCTTAAGAGACTGAAGAAATGAGCTCACAGGAACCTTGTGGAGTTCAACAAGGGAAAATATGAAGTCTTCTACCTGGAGCAATAATAACCCCAGGCACCAAGCCAAATGGCTGAAAAGCATGTTGGCAGAAAAGCCCCTGAAGGTCCCGGTGAACACCAAGTTGAGTGTGTCGCCAGCAGTGCACCCTCGTGGCCTCAAAAACTCAGACTCCTGGGCTGCATCAAGCTGAGTGTTGCCATCAGGTGGAGGGAAGTGATCCTGCTGGTCAAGCCTGAGCTGGTGAGACACATCTGAAGGCCATGTCTAGTGCTGAGCTCCCCAGTACAAGAGAGACATGGACATACTAGAGAGTATCCAGCAAGAGGCCAAGGAGATGATAATAGGATGGAAGACTGAAATAAGGGGGAGAGGATGAGAGTTAGTGTTTAGGCTGGAGAAGAAAAGTCTCGGGGGATCTTGTCAAGGTGTATAACCTGACAGGGTGTAAAAGACAACAGAGCCAGGACCTTCTCTAGTGGTGCCTGACAAATGGCAATGGATTCAAGCTGAAATACAGGAAATTCCACTTGAATGGAAGAAATAAGCTCAGTGATCTCCAGGTTGTTATCTGGGCTTTTTCTGAAACTGTATGTGAATTTTTTTTTCCCTCCAGTCATCAGGGATCCTTGATCTCTGTGGCTTTCCAAAAATCATGGAGAGTGGCCTTGCAAGGACATCAGCCAGCTCTCTCAGCATACTGGATACAGGCTTCTGCACTGCATGGATTTGTATGGGCTCAGTTGTTGCAAGTAGTTCCTAACTCACCCACTGAACAAACTGGGTGACAAAATGATCTATTTAACTGACAGCAGTGAAAAGGAATTTGTGCAACAAAGCATCTATCTTCCCAGAGTAAGCACTGAGTAAAATCTTTCCTTTTCAAATGTAGGTTTTGTCCCGTACATTTATCAAAACACCAAATCTGTGCTAAGAGCTGTACAGTATTCTGCAGAAGAAAGTTTGATCAATTATGCTTGTATAACAGTATCCGTGCAGATAACCTAACACAACTAAGTTGATACTGTTCCTCTTGAGGGTTCTTAGTTCAGGCCTAATGCAGCTTTTTAAATTTAGCTTGGACACTCTCCAACACACTGTGAACTAGTGTTTTTCAAAACTTCTTTGTGCCAAGACAAAAATGCTCGTATAAAGGGTCATATCAATGTAACTCTATTGGTTAAAGTTCTCGCTTCACATTCTAGCTTTCCTGTTTATATAAATTCTTGTATGTCTCTGATGAAGATAATGTGGTAATTATGGTTCTCTCTAACATTTAACACTAATGAAGTCACTCTTTTCCCTCATCAAGTTGTTCAGTATCTGCTTTCTTTGTCTCATTGACTTCTGGTGCATGTTTATAACCAAAAAATGTTGTGACTTCTGTTATTGCATGATACTTGCCAGGAAGGTTCAGGCTTTTTGACACATGTAGAAATGATTCATCAAAAGAATATGTTGGTGCTGCTGTGGCACTGTTGTTCCCATAGTGTGGTCATGATATATCAGTCTTAGAGTAAATGAAACTGAACTGAGACTTAACAGGATGTGTATAACATTTTGTTTCTCAGGGGATGTAGAGATCCTGTGTAAATGTCCAGAGACATTTATGAAAATCCTGTCCTGGAATTACTGCTGTATAACTAGTACTTCAAAAGTTCATCTCTTGACTTGTTTGAAGTTTTGTGGACAGATTGATATTTGAACACTCAAATATCTTAATGAGGCAGATAACTATACCGTAACTTCACAAGCAGATAACTATACCGTAACTTCACGAGCAAGCTAAGGAAAAGGAATAATAGCAAAAAAAAAAAAAACAAACAAAAAAACCAAACCAAAAAAGATAAGAGTAACAAAAATAGGCTAGTGGCCAGAAGCAGGCTTCAGATCTCAACTTGCAGACATGGGCTGTGCCATAAGTCTACATTTCTCCTGTGTAGACTTCAAATTGTTGTGTCCAAGCAAGATGACCTAGTTAGACAGTCTAATAAAAAATATCACTATGCCCAAAAATAAGTCTAAGTGCTAAAAGAATTGTAGATTCCCTGAAACAGGGTTCTGTAGAGAATTAGTAGCAGCAGAGAAAGGTGGGAAAGAGGAGGGAGGCCTCAGGCTTTGGGTGTTTGTGGGTATTGGCCAACAGCTGTCAATTTTTGCAAGGTGAATAAAGAAGATGAGATTAAGACAGGGGGGACTGATATGGGCAGGGGTATCCCCTTGTCTAGTCCTAGCAGTGAATTTCAGCTCTAGCTCTTCTGTCTGTGGTGTGAGTCTGAGAATGATTCATGGGCCAAGGCAAACGGTATGAGGTTTGATACGGTGAAAAGCTGGGTCCTTCACTTGGGCCACAACAACCCCATGCAGCACTACAGGCTGGAGGAAGAGTGGCTGAAAAGCTGCCTGGAGGAAAAGGACCTGGGGGTGCTGTTTGACATGGCTGGATGGTTACAGGCTGTTTAGGAGGGACAGACAGGGCAGAAGAGGTGGAAGCATGGCATTGTATGTACAATTACATTGTTTGTAATGAAGGGGCTGGAATGTATGGAGCTTACAGTTGGCAATGGCACAGTTGAGAGCCTCTGGGAAAGAATCAAGGGGCAAACAAATAATGCAATTGTCATTGCGGGAGTCTGCTATAGACCTCCCAGCCAAGACAATGATGCCAATGAATTATTCTCTGAGGAATTAAGGGACACTTCAAAGCCAACTGCCCTTGTCTTTCTGGGGGACTTTAAATTGCCAGAAATTAGCTGGGAGCATCACACAGCTGGTACAACCTGGGCCAAGAGATTCCTAAAAAACCTGGATGACAACTTTATGGAACATGTCCTAAGGAAGCAGACTTGGACAGATGCCCTCCTTGATCTGCTGCTTGTCAACAGAGCAGATCTCGTGAGCAAAGTGGAGACTGGTGGCTGTCTTGGCCACAGTGACCATGAAATGATCAAGTTTAAAATCTCTGATGGGAGGAAAAGTGCCAGCAAAACTTCAACCCTGGACATGAGAAGAGCAGACTTCAGGCTCTTCAGGGAACTAGTAATTAAGGTCCCCTGGAAAAATGTAATTGCAGGAGCTGGGGTCCACCAGTGCTGGTAACTTTTTAAACATCGCCTGCACAGGAGCAGGCAATTCCCAAATGTTGGAAGTCAAGCGGGTGAGACAGAAGGTCAGCTTGGCTGAATAGGAATTTTCTCTTGGAGATAAGGCAAAAAAGGAAGGTCTATGCCAAGTGGAAGCAAGGCCAGGTGACATGGGAAGAATACAGAGATGCTGCTTGCCAGGGAGATGCTGCCTGTAGGGAGAAAATTTGTGCAGCCAAAGCTTAACTGGAGTTGAAGCTGCCAGAAATGTGAGTGTTAAATGCATTCTTCTCCTCTGTCTTCAACATGGATGATAGACTGAGGGGTCTCAGTGCCCTGTGCTGGAAGGCAGTTGACCATGAACTTGTGTGGGATCTACTGCTCCAGCTGGTTCCTTGTAAATCTATGGGGCCTGATGGGATTCATCAAAGAATCCTCAAAGAACTAGCTGATGTCATTACAAACCTTCTCTCTTTCTGAGAGATCTTAGGAATCTGGAGAGGTCCTAGCTGACTGGAAGCTGGTAAACGTTGTCCCGATTTTCAAGCAGGAGGACTCTGAAA